CTACGGAAGGAAACGTGGTCCACGCGTTCTCAGGTTAATGACGATGATGAATGTGTGTGTGTGTGTTGTGTGTGTGTGTGTGTGTGTGTTGTGTGTGTGTGTGTGTGTGTGTGTGTGTGTGTGTGTTGTGTGTGTGTGTGTGTGTGTGTGTTGTGTGTGTTTGTTTGTGTGTGTTTGTGTGTGTTTGTTTGTGTTTGTTTGTTTGTGTTTGTGTGTGTGTTTGTTTGTGTGTGTTTGTGTGTGTGTTGTGTGTGTGTGTTTGTTTGTGTGTGTTTGTGTGTGTTTGTGTGTGTTGTGTGTGTTGTGTGTGTTGTGTTTGTGTGTGTTTTGTGTGTTTGTTTGTGTGTGTTTGTGTGTGTGTGTTTGTGTGTTGTGTTTGTGTGTGTTGTGTGTGTGTTTGTGTGTTGTGTGTGTGTGTTTGTTGTGTTTGTGTGTGTTTGTTTGTGTGTGTTTGTGTGTGTGTGTGTGTGTGTGTTTGTGTGTGTTTGTTTGTGTGTGTTTGTGTGTGTTTGTTGTGTGTGTGTTTGTGTGTGTTTGTGTTTGTGTGTGTGTGTTGTTGTGTTTGTTGTGTGTGTTTGTTTGTGTGTGTGTTTGTTTGTGTGTTTGTTTGTGTGTTTGTTTGTGTGTGTTTTGTGTGTGTGTGTGTGTGTTGTGTGTGTGTTTGTGTGTGTTTGTTTGTGTGTGTTTGTGTGTTGTTTGTGTGTGTTGTTTGTGTTTGTGTGTGTGTTTGTGTGTGTTGTGTTGTGTGTGTTTGTTTGTGTGTGTGTTTTGTGTGTTGTGTTTGTGTGTGTTTGTGTGTGTTTGTGTGTGTGTGTTGTTGTGTGTGTTTGTTGTGTGTGTTTGTTTGTGTTGTGTTGTGTGTGTGTGTGTTTGTTGTGTGTGTTGTGTGTGTTTGTTTGTGTGTGTTTGTTTGTGTGTGTTTGTGTGTGTTTGTGTGTGTTGTTTGTGTGTGTGTGTTGTGTTGTGTGTGTGTTGTGTGTGTTTGTTTGTGTGTGTTTGTTTGTGTTGTTTGTGTGTGTTTGTGTGTGTTTGTGTATAGGACAGTAGTGCAGACATCATGAGTCTATGCAGGTTGTTTTTCAGGCGATATTATATTTGTTATTTTCTTTATATTTCATGTCGGGAGAATAATTTCCAAGACACGAATGTGTTTTTACCTGTGCACTGCTGCCTCTGTTCTACTGGCTCTACGACCTCGTCTATTGTGCGACTGACGCCGCCAAGCGTTAACATGACGTTTACATCGCTCTTACTGCGCGTGTTTTGTGTGGGTTTCCGGCAATGAGTGGAATTACCGAAATAAAAACATGTATAAATGTGTTTTTTTGTGTGTGTGGTGTTGTCCCAACAACACATAAAAAACAGGTTTTATAATAAAGCAACTCACATACAGAAACCGTAAATGTTAGAGATTAAAAATGAGATTAACGCGATTAAAAAACATAACGCGCTAAATATGACTGTAATTAATTAATCGCAATTAACGCGATAACTTGACACCCCTAATTTCAGTTTTGAAAGTTTTGCGTAAATGATCAGTAACAAAGTGGTGGTGTTTATTTTATTTTATTTTTTTTTGAGAGAGAAAGAGAAAGAAATGCTGAATAAATGCATCGTATAACTAAAAAAGAATCGTTTTGAATAATCGTGATTTCAATATTAACCAAAATAATCGTGATAATTATTTTTTCATAATCGAGCAGCTCTATTTACATGGGTCCAATGTTATGCAAAATTGACTCTTATGAGCTTTAAGTCAAGTTACAATATGACGTGAACAAAGTTATACCTGGAGTTGTGTTTTCTTTCATTCACACGTTTGAGTAAACCTTTTATCATTAGTCTGAGCATTTTGAGATTTGGAGATGTAGACAGTGTCACCTTGTGATGTCATGTAGTGGTAGTTTTCAAGTTAACAGCTGCCGTATTATGGCCAGGCTGGCCCCACCGAGTGCTTCCGCTCAATTTCATTTCTCTCCAGGGACTAGGCCAGGAATCAAAATACACCAGACGCTTTGCAAGAACCCCAGAAGTGCAAGTTCGAGCACCAGCCAATCAGCGAAGAGACAGACATTCTGTGTTGGCAACGATTCCTGAGATCGAGGATTTAAAGCCGAACAAAGAAAATGTTTGAATTTTATCAAGGGGAAAGACGTTATTTCCCTTCTTCGTATGGGATTTGGGAAAAGCTTAATATAGGCGAGTTTCAGCTGACGTCATTGTTATTAAAAGCGCGCGTTGCATGCTGGGAAATATTTTGGTCGGAGGCAAGAAACACGATAGTGGTCAAACACAGTGTGTAACCTCGTGTATTTATCCCCGATAATGGTAAATTCCTGCTGCATTATTGGATGCACAAATAGAAGCACGGAAGAAGGAAAATGTCTTTTTTTGTATTCTGAGTGAAAAGAACCACTAACAGCGAATTTAAACGGCTTTCAAACATTCGCAGAGCAAACGTAGAAGATCCTAACAAACCGTGGACTCCAACAAGTTCAACAACACATCGAGACTCTTGTAGTCTTTCGTCTTTTCTGCTGTGAATGGCCCAGGAGTTTCCACCAAGTCATTGTGGATATCGCCGAAGTGAATATTTGTCCAGGTAGTTGGCGATTCTGACCAGAAATTTGGTTTGGTCCACCTTTTGTAGGGGTTGAAAAGGGTGATTTGGCTCCATCGATGCTTATGACCAATTTCTGGTCAAATTGTCTTCAGTCCTCTGCCGTTAGAGTGGATAAATAACCGGGATCAATACATTTTACGTGCTTTCTCGCTCCGTCCGTCATGTTGAATTAGTGTTTATTGCCGCTGACCAAAATAATTCCCAGCATGCAATGTGCGCTTTTGTCAACAATGAAACTCGCCTATACCATTTAACCCCGTTAGTGGTGCATTACATACATCACGAACATATAGAAACGACTGGTTAAATACAAAAATGTACCTGCCTACTGTTGGTCGAACGAATCGTAATGCTGCGAGGACGAAGACGAGACGGATGAACCAGGATAACCTTTTTATACCTTTTTTTTCAGTCGTGGTTTGCTGTAATAAAAGCTATAGAACTAGAAATACAAAGGGAAAAAAAACAACAACAGAAAATAATATTCACACTCCTTTATTCAAAACACACAGCAAACATGTATAAACAACTTTTTAGACATAATAAATACTTAGTTTAGGGTCATAGCTACAAAAGTGCATGTAAGATTACGGACGTAACTCTGGCCTCTTACTGGCCCAGGAAAGCCGCAGCACCCGAGGGTCAACAAACACGACAAAACAAAAATCAAGTTCTTCACCTTTTTTCCTTTAATTGGCATGAGCAGATCTGACCGCATGTCCCCATGACAGACAACAGGCAACACCCCGTGACAAAAAAATTCCCCCTTATATAGTTAGGCCTAAACCACTAAGCCCCAAACAGGTAAGTTTAAACTTCTAAAAAACTACTACATATAGAATAATACGATTTTCAACTATTTACATTTCATCAATTCATATTGCACTTTGAAACATCAAGATTATCAGTTTTTCGCTATTATTTCATGTATTAGTTAAATAGTTAAAACCATTTTAACAGTTAAACCTCCCCTCCCCCAGAAGCACTTGGCAGAGTCCAAATCAGGGCGATGGGATGCACCTGGCCTGCACTGATAAGGGCGCGCCTCCAAATCAGTGCCTCCACCAATCACCTCAAAGGAAAGGGGAAAAAAAAAGGAATGAAACAGGGAAAATTAACATGGCATCAAATGAAAATAGGTGAAAACATAAAGGTGTACACCTGATGAGTGAGGGTGTGGTCTATAGCTCCCTCACATTTCCTCCCCCCTCGGAAGGCACGACCTCGTGACTGCGGGACAGGAAGTCTGCCACGGCATTCTGCTTCCCAGGCACATAGCCAATGCTGAACTTGTAAGGTTGGAGGGATAAGAACCACCTGGTGATCCGACTGTTTGTGTCTTTCATGGACTCCAACCACTGGAGGGCTCTGTGGTCTGTTTCCAGGGTGAACTCCCTCCCCAGAAGATAGTACTTGAAAGAGTCAATCACCCACTTAATGGCTAAACACTCCAGCTCCACGGTTGAGTAGCGCATCTCCCTTGGGAACAGCTTCCGGCTCACATAAGCCACTGGTTTCCGGTCCCCTCCCTCTCCTTGCAGGAGGACACCGCCGATGCCTCTATGTGATGCATCCGTCTGAACAGTGAAAGGCAGGCTGAAGTTTGGGCTTTGGAGAACAGGCTCATGGCAGAGAGCCTCTTTCAGATCCTGAAAGGCTTTTTCCTGTTCCTCTCCCCAAACGCATTTGGCCTGACTGGCACTTGTGAGGTCAGAGAGAGGTGCAGCACGAGCCGAGAAGTTCCTGATGAACCGCCGGTACCAACCTACCAGGCCCAAGAATGAACGGACCTGCTTTTTGGTGGTTGGTCTGTTAGCAGACCGCACAGCCTCCACTTTGTCCTGTACCGGCCTGATCACACCGCCTCCCAAGATGTGGCCCAGATACTGCAGTTCCTGCCTGGCCAGGGAGCATTTCCGCGGATTTACTGTCAGGCCTGCCTGCTTGATTCGCTGCAGGACAGCTTCCAAATGGCTGAGATGTTCCTGCCACGAGTTGCTATAAATGATGACATCGTCAAGGTATGCTGCAGAGAATGATTCCATACCTGACAAGACTTTGTTCATCAGTCGCTGAAAAGTGGCAGGGGCACCATGTAACCCGAAAGGCATCTTTGTGAACTGCCACAATCCATGGGGTGTCCGGAAGGCTGTGAGGGGCTTGGCGGCATCAGTGAGGGGGACTTGCCAGTACCCTTTACACAAATCCAGGGTACTGATAAACTGGGACTGGCCAACCCGCTCTATCAGATCATCGAGCCTGGGCAGAGGATAGGCATCAAATTTCGACTGTGCATTTACCTTCCGGAAATCGATGCAGAACCGGATGCTACCATCCTTTTTGATAACCAGGACCACAGGGTTGCTCCATTCACTGGTTGAAGGCTCTATCACGCCCAGCTCCAGCATGACCTCAATCTCCTCCAGCAGAACCGGAACCAGCCGCTCCGGAATGCGATACATCCTCTGCCTGATGGGGGTGGTGTTGGTGAGCTGGATGTCATGTTGTACCAAGTCTGTAGACCCTGGCTTCTCTTGGAAGAGGTCTGGTGGAATAATGGCTTCCAAGTCTTGTTGCTGTGTGGGAGAGAGATGGGACAAGTCAATTTTGGCGGCTGAAGGCCTGGTCGGAGGAAACTCACCCTCCTCATCTTCCTCTTCCACTGCCCGCACATAAAACTGAGAGCTAGAGGGAGGGTCCCGAGTCTTCCACTCTTTCAGCAAATTAATGTGGAAAGTCTGTTTTGGGTTTCTTCTCTCAGGCATTTCAATCTGATAGACTGTGTCACTTTGCTTCCGTAAGATTTTATATGGTCCCTTCCATTTTGCCAACAACTTATTTTCAGATGAAGGTAACAACAACAATACTTGCTGACCTGGTTCAAAGGACCTCTGCCTTGCTGCCCGATCATACCAGGTTTTCTGGTCCTGCTGCGCTTTCTCCATCTCTCTCCTCACCAGTTGAGATGTCTGCTCCATCTTGTCCCGCATTTTGAGGACATAGGTGAGGATGTTGGAAGTCTCCCCCTTTTTTTTGCCGATCCAGGACTCCTGCAAAACATCAAGGGGTCCCCTCACCTGCCTCCCATAGAGGAGCTCGAATGGCGAGAATCCTGTGGATGCCTGGGGAACCTCACGATAAGCAAACATCAGGTAAGGTAACCATTTGTCCCAGTCTCTGCCGCTAATGGACACAACTTTTTTTAACATGCTTTTCAGGGTTCTGTTGTACCTCTCAACCAGCCCGTCAGTCTGGGGATGGTAAGGGGTGGTCCGTATACTCTTAATCCCCAGCAATCTGTACACCTGCTTGAGTGTGTTTGACAGAAAATTTGTTCCCTGATCAGTTAGAATTTCTGAGGGGATACCTACCCTAGAGAACAGCTGGAGCAGAGCATAGGCAATCTGCCTGGCAGTAATATCTCGGAGGGGAAATGCCTCAGGATAGCGAGTACAGTAGTCGCAAATGACTAGTATAAACCTGTTACCCGCTTGTGACCTTTCTAGCGGCCCCACTATATCCATGGCTATTCTGCTGAAGGGCACATCAATCACAGGAAGTGGCTGGAGGGGAAACTTCGGCACGTTTTTGTTAGCGGATAGCTGGCAGGTTGGACATGACTGACAGTATTCCAGTACTTTTGTTTGGAGCCCTGGCCAATAAAACCTACTGGCTATTCTATCATAGGTTTTCTTGGATCCCAGGTGACCCGCCCACGGGATGCTATGACCCAATTCCAGCACCTGCCCCCGCAGAATTGTTGGAACCACTAGTCTCTCCATTTGGGTGCCCCCTGACCGATGAAACAGCAAACCATCCCTTAGGACATAGCCCTCCCCAAGAGGTTCCTCACTAGCTTGTTTTTGAGCCTGGCTGAAGGCCTCCTGCAAGGACTCATCCTGACTCTGCAGCTGCAGAAAATTGACAGGTAGGTTATCCTCAGATTCCCCTGGCTTTGACACAAGTTCTGACAGCATTTTGGCAGTACCTGACATTTTCTCTCGTCTCCTTTGGCGCCTACTTTTACGTGGTTTACAATAGCCCTCGCTTGGTACATCAGACTCAAAAAACGGTAAGTCAGACAAGGTATTTTGTGCAACCTGTACCAAGTTTTTACCTAGCTGCTGCTGAACTAGGTCAACCTGAATGTCCCCACCGTCTACCCCAGAACTCTCCTTGGCTTTGTGCTGAGATCTGGTAACCACACAGACCGGTTTACAGGACTGGACTAGGTCTGCCAACACAGGAATGTCCTGACCCAAGATCACCTGGTGAGCTAGATTTTCCACCACCCCCACTGTCAACAGGTAAGTTTGGCCAGCCACCTCTACATACACTATGGCAGTTGGATAGAGCCGATGATCCCCATGCACACAAGATATGTCAAGGCATGGACCCCCGCACTGGCCCTGCCCCTTTAAAACTGAGGGGTTAACCAGGGTTTGGACACTGCCAGTATCAAGCAAAGCTAAAGTTGGCTCCCCATTCACTTTAACCTCAGTAAGCTGCTGCTTGCCCTCACCTGAAACCCCCCCTCTTCCCGGTCGGGGTACAGTACACAAATAAGCTGATTTAGCTTTTCTGGCAGGGCAATCTGGCTTTTTGTGCCCCTCCTGACCACATGAAAAACAAACAAGAGGCTTACTGGAGGGTATAACGTTACTAGAGCACCCACTTCCCCCTCTTGACTTAGCAGCCCCTCCCATCTGAACGGGACCACCACCTATACCAGAGCCCACAGACTTACCCTGTGACATGCCGCCCCTAGACTGTGGGTCGAACCGGAAGGTCTTTGGTCCCCGTCGGGCAGATAAAAAGTTCTCCACAAGCTCAGCCGCTTCACGTCCAGATGCTGGGGTACGTTCCTTAACCCAGACTCTCAACTCTGGTGACAGTGAACGATAGAACTGCTCCAAGATGAGGACCTCACCCACTTGCTCTTTTGCTTTCTTCTCTGGCTGCATCCATTTCAGGTACAAGTCTTTGAGGCGATTATAAAACTCTCTAGGAGTTTCTCCAGGCTGGAGGTCTGGCTCACGGAACCGCTGGCGATATACATCCTCATTGATTTCGTACTTCATCAGAATTGCTTCCTTCACCTTTTTATAGTTGCAGGATTCTTCAAAGTCCATGGCCACATAGGCTGCACGGGCCTTACCAGTCAGATAGGGGATAAGCCTCACTGCCCACTCAAGCTCTGGCCATTGGTATGCGGTTGCCAGGCGCTCAAACGTGGTGAGATACTGTTCAATGTCGTCCCCTTCCTCTAATCTGGGAATAGCTGACTGTGCCCAGCCTCTTGCAGTATGCTCCCGTAGCGTGGGGGACACTGCTACCTGTTCCTCCTGTTGCTGTCGATGGGGAGTGAAATGGGGTTGGGGGCCACCCCTTATCGGAGAAGCAAGACCCTCTCTGAGGCTGCTGACTTGCTCCTCTATCTGCTGCCATCTCTCTTCCTGCTTCTTTGACTCTTCGTTCCATCGCTTACTCAAGTCTGACTGAAACTTAAGACATTTTTGAAGCATGCATACCAGAGAGTCAGTTTCGGCTTCCTTGGATGATCCTACCACAGGTTCTCCTCCTGTAGCCCCCTCCTCCAGAGCCTCCTCCACACCCTGGACCTTGGGTGTTTTTTTGGGTGCCATGTCTTATTGATGTCCTCAGATTGGCACGACGATCCCACTTCTTTGACACCAAATGTAAGATTACGGACGTAACTCTGGCCTCTTACTGGCCCAGGAAAGCCGCAGCACCCGAGGGTCAACAAACACGACAAAACAAAAATCAAGTTCTTCACCTTTTTTCCTTTAATTGGCATGAGCAGATCTGACCGCATGTCCCCATGACAGACAACAGGCAACACCCCGTGACAAAAAAATTCCCCCTTATATAGTTAGGCCTAAACCACTAAGCCCCAAACAGGTAAGTTTAAACTTCTAAAAACTACTACATATAGAATAATACGATTTTCAACTATTTACATTTCATCAATTCATATTGCACTTTGAAACATCAAGATTATCAGTTTTTCGCTATTATTTCATGTATTAGTTAAATAGTTAAAACCATTTTAACAGTTAAACCTCCCCTCCCCCAGAAGCACTTGGCAGAGTCCAAATCAGGGCGATGGGATGCACCTGGCCTGCACTGATAAGGGCGCGCCTCCAAATCAGTGCCTCCACCAATCACCTCAAAGGAAAGGGGAAAAAAAAAGGAATGAAACAGGGAAAATTAACATGGCATCAAATGAAAATAGGTGAAAACATAAAGGTGTACACCTGATGAGTGAGGGTGTAGTCTATAGCTCCCTCACATACCTTTTGACCTATATTTTACCAAATTGAAGAAAGACACGCCTGGACACAATAAATGGACCTAATGTCGACTAAACATATAAAACATGGATCTTTTCATACAAAACGTTGACTTACCCCATCTTAAGACGTGCCAAATATTCATTCAATGTATATGTTAATACATTTATACACACAGAGTCGAAGTTGATAAACTCTAAGAAAAAAATGTCAATCACACAGTACCAAAAGTCACTGAAAATTTCACAACTGTCTTTGTTTCATGAAATCAGGATATTTACTCCTTATCTGCAGGCCAGTTCAAACAGTGGTTAGAACTTCTGGACATGTCATGATGCGAAATGCTGTAGTTTCTTGTTGAAGATGATTTCAACAAAGGAGTGTTTATCACACAGTGTATGTCTGAATCAGGTATCCAACAAGAATCAACTTTAGACGGCCAGTAGAAGGTTTTGGCTGGGCCATGACAGTGCATGAACTTTATCTTATAGTCAGTGAATTCTTCTGAGACCTCCTCCACTAGACCAATCCATGGGAACTTATCACAGCTGCAGCATACGAACTTCTGAGGTCTAAAGGTTCTTTCACCCCGACAGTAGTTGGTGCGCACCAGACCGTCCATTCGAACCAAAAGCTCTTAGTTCAGGTCGTTTTCGTTGGTGTGAAAGTGACAATCGGACTCAGACCCGCACTATATCAAGCAGACCGAGACCTCAAAAAAAAGGTGGTCTCGTTTCGCTTGCCTCACACGAAACCAGTGCGCAGATGATGGCACGGAACAGCTCGGACCCAGGTCTTGCTCTTCCCCGTTGGGAACCAGCACATGGAGGATGGAGCCTCCGGACCATCTGACCAACGCACTTGGAGGATGACACAAGACCAAGGACCAGACCTCAGCCCCGTCCTGAGGGGCTGCGTGCTACAGTGAGTGCTCCTCTTTAGCGTTGTTGGCTGCTGCTGTGGGCTGATGTGCAGTGAGTTGCGTACAAAGTTCTCCATGTTGCTGTATTATGAGTTCATGATGGTAACTTGAGATGAGGACAGCCCGCGGTATTAACAGGGAACATCAGTACTGGTAATTGGAGATATCGCTGTTCTCCCGGGAAACAGAGGCACGTCAATCAGACCAATTTTGGTTTGTTTCCTGGTGTGAAAGCGGACCACACCAGAGTGCTATAAGCTACATAATAACAATTTTATTGCCTGGTGTGAACCAAATAATCTAACTAACTAACTAACAACAAGAGGGATACTGGCAGGACCTTCGTGTTCATCTTCATCACTCTTGTCCTTGATAAACTGCAACCCAAATCAGGGGGTTTGCCTGTTCACTGAGTTTGTGGACATGCATCTGTGTCAAGGAGACAGGGACAAAACGATGGTACTGTAATGTTCCTTTGACTGTCAGCCGACACACTGACTGAATATTTGGCACATCTTAAGATGAGGGTAAGTCAACTTCTAGGTAAATTTGTTTAAAAATCAAAGAAAACCCCTCCAGATTTTTTATATGTTGTAGTCGACATATAGGGCTACATTTATTTCTATTGGTGTCATTGAGGTCGGGTGTGTCCCTTATTGAAAATTTCAAGGTCAAAATATAGGTCAAAAGGTAATTCATCTCAAAAGTGCTCAAATACAAATAATAATAAAATAATTTGGGTTATCTTATGATGTCCCCTTTCCAGAGACGCCTTGGTTTTTGATATTGGACCAGTAGTTGCTGAGTAAATGCAATTCGAAATTCAGCGACTACACAAAAAAGTAAAAAAAAATAATAAATTGCAATATACTCAACAAATCCGATCATGCTAAAATTAGAGATTTTGTCTTTCTTGACTATGACTTACCCATACACCAATTTTCTTTGCCACTGGACAATGTGAGTGTTCAAATTGCAATTTTTTTGGGTGAATTGTGGTGGAATGACCCAGCATTCAGCTCCACTCAAATGAAGCTCGTGATGATAGCAGTTACAGGGGAAAATACAAGAATACAATTTTTTTTTTTAGGACACAATTGTCAAATACAAACATGCATAACGGGTTAATACAAACATTTAAAGACCAAAATGATGACACTGCAGCAGCTACAGACAGAAGTGCCACTGTATTCTAATGTAAGTTAATGGGAGCGGGGGTCACAGGAGCAGGAAGAGCCTGCATGTTAACTGCCTGTTTGGAACACAACAGATAATGTGTTTGTTATGTCCAATTATATATACAGTCTTTGTCTAGATTGAAAAAAACAGAGGAAAGCGATATCACAGGAGACAGAAAAACATGGTGGATTTCTGCAGTATCAATGAGCGAAGCACCAAACTCTGTTCATCCGAGGTGAAATTACACTGAAAAGAAAAACAAATGTGACTGGATGATCACATCTGAACAGACTTGAGACGCGACAGGGAGCAGTGACCAGACTGATATTCCTCTATATAAAAAATACACAAACATCACTCTGGACTTGCCAGGTGGTCTGTTGTGTTATTGTGTTGTTGTGTTATGTATTGCTAAATTATTAAATGGTGTGAAAATAAATGAACAACTATTCCTACGACATATATGTTTTTTTGTTGTATTTATTTCATTTTTACAATTTCCATTTATAAATTCAATGTACAAACCACACAAATGTAGACAACACACATTAAACAAAAGGAAAATAAACTCAAGAGAAAAACGACTATAGGCAGACTTAAATCTCAGCATCTATTTACTGTATTGTGGAAAGATGTTAAATATTAAACATTATTTTATTTATTTATTTTAAGCAAAATTTCAAAAAAGTACAGATCTGTAGCCTACAGATCGATTGTATAAGCAGCTCTTGTGGTCAAGGTAAGTCTGCTGTGGACAAGTTGTCTGCATTTAATAACAAAACGCTTTATTGTCCAAGAACCAGGAAGTGCACATTAGCATGCTAGTTGTTGTTACAATTAGTGTGATGACAAAACTCTGCTCTGACCTCTGAAAGTTGTGAAAAGTGCTTCTAAACTCATGGTGAATAATAGAATCCATAAGGTAAGTGAGGAGTAACTCTGGAGCACTGCAAACTGTTTACGATGAGTTAGTTCTGTTTGTCATGTTTTGACAGTACTCGGGTCCTTTCTCTTCTGTGGACTTGTTGCCAAAAACAGAGCTGCGGACCCACTGCAGGGAGGCTGGTCTTATCAGGGCAGTGTTTAACCTCAGCTCAATCTGTGAAGCAGACACACTAATACTAATAAGTAATAAAAATAACAATCAGGACCCTCACAATAACATTTTTCCACATTTTTCCTTGTAGAAAAGCATTTGACCCTCCGCAAGAAAAGTTACACAATGCACCTTTACTTAAGCTGTGAATGTATTTTTATATTGATATATGTTTCTTTATTTAGTTTCATTTGAATGATTAAGCCATAGTCGCATTAGCCTGATTCATCAGATGGTTTCACTTTGTAGAAACCGTCTGACCTCGCAGTGTTAGAATTCGTTCACTCGACAGTAGGCTGGTGCTTTTTATCATTTAACCAATCGCTGTGTCTTTTCCCCTTGATGAAATTCACCAAACATTTTCTTTGTTCCAGCTTTTAAATACTCGATCTCAGGAATTGTTGATAACACTGAATATATGGCTCTTCGCTGACTGGCTGGTGCCCAAACTTGCACTTCTGGGGGTTTTGCAAACTATTGTATTTTGATTCCTGACCTAGTCACTGGAGAGAAATGAAATTGAACGGAGGCACTAGGTGGCGCCAGTCTGACTATAGTCTCATAACAATTCAAAACTACAGTTAAATCAATGATTTTTCTGTTGTTTAAGTTTACATGAGTGATTTTATAACATCTGCACATTCGTCAGAGCACATCGTATTTTCCCTATTATCCATTTCACCTCATTTACACTGTCAATATCAGTAAACATTAGATGTATAGGGCTTTATAATAAAGTCTGTTTTTTCACACACATCTCCACGGAGCTTTTTTGATAACATAAAAAGCTGGAAAGTAAACCAGATGTCAAGATATTGCAGACACATATTCTTTAAAAAGATGTGTTTCCTGCAGCATTCCCTGGGTGTTACTAAGTTAGAACTTCTCTCTCAGGATTGATTGCTTTTGCCTTTTCATCTTGGCTCTTTGCTGCAAAATCTTCCACAGCAAATTCTCACTGTTGAATCTGAGGGCGTGAGAACATATGTGTGGCAATTTTTCAAGGTGCATTTTTCAGTTAAAATTTTTAAACACACAAAATATATAGTTCATCGATGGAAATTCAGAATAAAAACAATCAGAGTTTAAAAATTCACACTGAAAACTTAGGTTGAGTCAGGTGGGTGCAGGAGCTCTACTGTCTCTAATATATCAATAAATAACAATAAAAGCGAACCACCTACACAGGCTCTTTACGCACTTGTACTCACTTGTTTCATGATGTTTTCTTGTGCAACAGGATCATTGAGATTCAAACCCGCATCTGAGCTCAGAACTACTTTAAGAGTCTTAGAAGATTTTCGGCCTGAAATGAACATACGAATAATCACTGGTGAAAGAATTTCTCCATTTTAATTTGATATTTAAACGTCCCATATTACACTATTTTCTGATCTATGTTATAACGTTGTTTCCTCGTCACAAACAGACCCGGAGTGGTTTGTGTTTTGATGCAGTCACACATGTTTAACTCACAAATGTCACAAATTTAGTTCTCTCAAACTGAAAACACTCTGTTCCACATTGCGATGTCAACATGTTCCAGAGTATGACATTAAACAGCTCTACTTTACATTTATTCGAATTGCAGTTGGTTTTACAGCTCAAAAATGCCTAAAAAACAGACATTCTGACACTGAGCGGGGTCACCTCTCCACAGATGTGACCTGTAACT